TTCAGTTTTCCATCCCCCCCCCACACACCTGCAGCCTCTACAGTGCTCTGAAGCCTTGGCTGTCATGGGGGGAGGGGCCTGTCAGCAGGGCAGAAGGACACAATGAGTTTTTCCCCAAGGCCCGAATAGGTGTGGAAAGGGCCTTTCACTGACCGAAACCAAGCTTGGTTGACCAGCAGCAGGCACTGAGGGGAACGTAGGCTTCCCAGCTCTGATTAGGGAAATACCTGGAGATTTGAGGGTGGATCCTGTGGAGGCCAGCGTTTTTTTGGCGGGGAGAGGAGCTGGCAACCCTAGTCAGGACTGGGCCCAATGAGTGTTTCACAGAGCCGTAGAAAGGGCTTTGTTCCTTTGTCTCTTTACTGGCAGAACCAAGCTTGGTTGCCTACCAACAGCCACTGAGGGAGAAGTTAAAATGCTTTGGCCGGTGGCCTCTATGGCATTCTATTCAGCTGAGGCCTCCCCTCCCCTCTCCCCTCCCCCCTCCCCAAACTCTGCCTTCCTTAAACTGGCTTCCTTACCTGGAGCTGGCAACCCTATGAGTCCTCACAACAGCCACTGAGGGAAACCTTTGTCCCACACTCAGGAGCTAAGCAAGAGAACTGTGTTCCTCGAGAGACACAGAACTTCTGACAGAGAACAGTGCCTGACAGGGGAGTGGGCGGGGAAGAGGAGCACACCCGGCCAGTGGCACGCCAGTAGTCTTGACTGGCAGCTGGCGGGCCAATGGCTGAGGGAGCGCATGCAGTCTTGCCACCCCATAGGCCAGAAGCCACTACCATTCGGCAAATATATATAAGAGAGATTTGGGTAAATATTCGGTAAACCTGAATTTATTTGACTCTACTATACCCTATGGGGACCATCCCCATAGGGTATAATGGAGAAGGGATTTAAACTTTAAATGCTTGCTGAGTTCACTTGCGCAGTGGTGCAACCTGGTGAGTGAACTTAGAAGGCACTTAAAAAGTCTGCGGTCTCTTTACATGCCTTCTGGCCATGCCCAAATAAAAGCCGAATAATATTGGCTTTTATTTAGGTGTGGCCACTTTGGTAGCCACATACAGATTTCTGATCTATATTTGGCTGAATAAATACCAAAAATCCCTGAAAAGGTATTTTTTAGGTATTTATTCGGTCCGGTATATACCAAGTGCACACCCCTAATTATCAACAGCCAGTTTAGGAACAGGACTGTCCTCTGCTATTCCTCTTTCCTGTTCTTGCAGGAGCTGCTGACTTAGGTTTTAATGCCCATCTAGAGAGAAATGGGTTCAAATCTGTGCTTAGGCCACTATATTTTTAGGGATCAATGGCAAAGTCACTGTGCTCCAGAACAGGTCTGAAGCAGTAAGACTGAGATGAGAATATAATAGAATAACCATATGCAATTTATTTGAGGGGAAATTAGGTAAAGCCCATGCAGTCTATTTGCCTATTTCATAGCACTGGATTCTAAGAAGCCAAAAACGTGGCTATTCCCATAGTCCAAAAATATACTTGTATTACGCAATGTACAACTCAGGAGGTAGAAATGGCAAAGAGAAAACAGAAAAGACAGCAAGGAAAAGTATTTTACCTATGCTAATAAGTGTGGCAGAGTCTCCTGGGAGAGCAGGCACCTCAGTATCCAATGATCCAAATAAGAACATAAGAACATAAGAGATGCCAATGTTGGATCAGGCCAAAGGCCCATCCAGTCCAACACTCTGTATCACACAGTGGCCAGAAATACCAGTGCCATCAGGAGGTCCACCAGTGGGGCCAGGACATTAGAAGCCATCCCACTGTTGACCCCCCAAGCACCAAGATGACAGAGCATCACTTGCCCCAGAGTCCCTATCTATACCTTGTGGCTAATAGCCACTGATGGACCTCTGCTCCATATGCTTATCTAATTCCCTTTTGAAGCCGTCCATGCTTGTAGCCGCCACCACTTCCTGTGGCAGTGAATTCCAAGTGTTAATCACTCTTTGGGTGAAGAAGTACTTCCTTTTATCTGTTCTAACCCGACCGCTCAGCAATTTCATGGAGTGCCCACGAGTTCTTGTATTGTGAGAAAGGGAGAAAAGTACCTCTTTCTCTACCTGCTCTTTCCCATGCATAATCTTATAAACCTCAATCATGTCACCCCTCAGTCGTCGTTTCTCCAAGCTAAAGAGCCCTAAGCGCCTTAACCTTTCCTCATAGGGAAAGTGTTCCAACCCTTTTATCATTCGAGTTGCCCTTTTCTGCACTTTTTCCAAAGCTATAATATCCTTTTTAAGGTGTGGTGACCAGAATTGCACACAGTATTCCAGATGAGGTCGCACCATTGATTTATATAGGGGTATTATGATATTGGCTGATCTGTTTACAATACCCTTCCTAATAATTCCCAGCATAGCATTGGCCTTCTTTATTGCAGTCACACACTGTCTCGACATTTTCAGAAGAGATTGGAAGGTTCATTCATCTCTAGAATAATAGTCACTGTGCTGGTACTGCTTGACGGGGTTATTGCTCTGTGGGTTTCTCCTATATGCTAGACTGCATCTTTTCACAACCAAACTAGTTAGCCATTGTAATTTGTGGCTAACATTCAGTAGTGTAAATTGGTCTGCTTCTGCCCAATCACATCTTCATTGCCCTGTAGATGTTCTCCTGATATCTCCTTAACAAGACCTGGCTAGAACATTCTGCGTTTGAGAGAACTGGTGGGCTGGTCACAGGCTAAAGGGGAGAGACTAAAGCCAAAAAAATTGATGCCAAAAGGGCATATTGAGAACAGTTGTACGCCATTTAATGTGGACTTCAAAAATAAACAGTGAGATGGCCTATGACAATTACTCAGATTTTCCTGAGGGACCGTCTCCTCCCATACTATCCAGCCTGCCAGCTAACATCTGCCTTTCAAGCCCTATTCTTGTGCCCCTGTTCTGCTCCTTTCTGTCAATCTCCAGCCCCCTTATATTCCTGTTTGGTGGGTGTGCACAGCAGCTAACAACCAATCA